GAAAACACGAAGAAAGTTAAGAAAAACAATAAGTTTCATTTATTGCGCATAAGCTGCAAGTAAAGAGAACTCATTAGATAAGTTCAAAACGAAGATAAAACAAAGAAAAATTATAGACATATGAAAAAAAAGGGGGGGGGGAAATAATAAGTAAAAAAATAACAAACAACAGTTTAAAAAAAAAACAAAACTAAATAATAAAAAAAGTTGCACTCAATTTGCGCTTTTGTTTTCATATTTTGTAATCTGGCAATCTTGTTGTGAAAACATTTTTAAATCATTTTTTAAAAATTTCCCGTCCATGTAAGTACATCTGATTTCGCTAATAGCTTTATAGTCTATGTTTTATACGGTTTTTTCTTTTTCTTTTATTTTATTTTCTGTTTTTACATGTTATTTTTACTTATTTTCACTTATTGTGTTTTATTTTAATTGTTGTAATTTTCGTAAAAACTTTTTTTTGAGTGCTCCTCACACTATTGTATTAATATATTTTGCTTTGGCTTTATTTTTCTATATCAGAAAGCACTCTTTTGAAAAGATTATATCTTTTTTTCCCGGTTTTTTTAAATAAAATTTCATCCCCTTTTCTTTTTTTTTTAAACTGTTTGTTATTTTTTTACTGATTATTTTCCCTCTTTTTTCATATGTCTATAATTTTTCTTTGTTTTATCTTCATTTAGAACTTATATATTATACATATATATATTCGTTTTAAAAAATTTCTTTAATTTCTTAAACTTATTTTTTTAATCATTCTTAACCGAATTGTAATTAAATTAAATCAATTAGTTAATTTTTATTAAAATTTATAAGAAAGCGAATATAAAATATTTTATTCTCTTCTTATCGATCAATGCAACGGTTAACTTTTTATTTCAATACTAATGTAAGACTCATTAGTTCACCAATCGAAAACGAAAATCTATTTATAACTCTTTATTTCTTACCACAACTGTGTTTCAGTAACATGGTTATTCTAATTCTCACACTCTTGTTGGCGATTGGCTTTATTTTTGGCGATGTTATCCTTCGGTAAATAACCGACCTTGGATCTCTTCCCATTCTTCTAACTGTCCGTTGGAAACATTTCTATCGCTTTCAACTTTCATTTTTTGGAGATTGAGTGTGCGCTTTTGGGCAGACCAGTCCCAACTGTTGAATATAAAATCTTAACTAAAATTCTCGATTTAAGATAATGTTTTATCTTGATCTTTTTAAGGGATTTCTTTTCTTTATTATATTTGAATTATGTCCATTCTCAATACTTAATAAATCAATTTTTTTAAACGATTTTATTTATTTCTTTGAGGCAATTATCATTTCATTACATCCAAAGTTAAGATTTATCTGTAACGGCCAAAAAGTCAATAATGCTACCTGTACAAATCCACTCGTTAGTTTAAAACGATCACCTTCATAACAGCCCCTGTTCTCAAAAGTACTAATGACCACTAGCCAGGAATTAAATTTTGCTAAATTTCCCTGTATTATTAGATCACCGTTGGGAATGAATAGTCCGGTGCAATTAAGTATTACAACATTTTGATTAATATGTGAACAAGAAAAAAAATTTGGTGTTGATTTACCATTTGGATTAAATCCGTATATGTAGTCTGGGCATTGCTTGACCACGAGTGTTCCTGCTTCAGCGTATGGCCAGCAGTAAGCTCCATCCCATGTCTGTGGACAAAACACACCTATAGGAGACACACATACAAAACATCATCAGTAACATTCCGTGGACACACATACAAAATATCATATCCGCAGCATTCCGTGGACGGACACGCACAAAATATCAACAGCAACATTTCGTGGACACACATAGTTTTAAACATATTTTTCTGAAAGTACAATGCATATTTTAAACATAAAGTATAGCCTCGCATAAAAAATTGATATGCAGGATTGTAACAATCGCTTATAGACTTCCTGTGACAGATGAAGTTTAAAAAAAAAAAAAAAAAAGTTATACGGACCCCAGGGGGCAAATTTTTTCTTACAATTTCATTTTTCGTGCTTACGTTTCCTGCCTGTTTTTGGTTAGGCTGAAGTGAAAATATTTTTTTCTTTTTTATCTACTTAAAAAAATATAACTTTTTCTTTTTGTTACAGTGTCCATTGGTTTGCTTGTCGTCAGAAAATTGTCGTTGCATTGATGGACAATAAATCTTGCTTGAATCAAATGTAACCAATATGGTCATCGAGTGGTTGAGAATTGGCCACTCGAAAAAAAAAGTCAAAATTAACATTGTCGATAAATTCCTTTTCGCTATAATATGGCGATAAATCTTGTTCTGAAGCTTGCATTGCCATTAAGCACAAAGATCTAGTTAAAAAAAAACAATCACACTAGCTAAGCTAACTAAGTTGGAATGTTAAAACTTAGATTGGCTATAATGTAGATAAAAAAATCTGCGTTTAGTTATAAGGAAACAATGGAAACATGTATCCAGCGTTCCGTACCGAAAAGCTCGCGGAGATTTGAGTATTCTTAGTAGGTCGGAAAATGGTCAGAATTTTGATTCACCATTAATTCTCAGTGGCAATAAATTTTATCTTTAGCGGTCAAGAAACAACTATAACTTGAGTTGAAACCAAAAACAAAGATCAATATGACATTTTAGCACTCTATTTAGTTAGAAATGGACCAGGAATTCAGTTTAATTGTATTCAACAATTTAAGCAAAAATTAGCAGTAAGTTCCATTGTTTACTTTATAGTAAGCTAGAAAGGGTTACATTTTAATTTTATTTTTATAACTGTTGGAATGGATATAAAACAAAACATAAAGTACTCGAATTTCTTAAATACTTTTGATTTCATAAATTATAGATTCTGAAATCGATTCATACAGTCCTGGCCAAATTATTAGACGCACTATGAGATTCCATGCAAAATCTTAATTATCAGTATGTACTATACAGCTTTATTGTTTCAGCACTTGCTTACGCTCGTTTATCAATGGGTTAACATTGTAATGCAATACGTTTAAAATAAATACAAATAGGAAGTATATAAAAAATCTCCTGAATAACAACCCATGACATGTATGTTTAAATATAAAAGTATTGCCTATAAACTCATGCAAAGCCATGTCATTATTAAAACACTACAGTGCTTCTAATCACTTGATCTAATAATCNATAAAAAATCTCCTGAATAACAACCCATTACACATATGTTTAAATATAAAAGTATTGCCTATAAACTCATGCAAAGCCATGTCATTATTAAAACACTACAGTGCTTCTAATCATTTGATCTAATAATTACAATATAATGCATGATATAATAAATATTCTATATTTATATAACACATCGTCTACTTGATCCAATCACCGAATTTATATTATATATCGTCCAGCTTAATCCATTGATACACTAAGGTAAACAAATGCAAACCGCGTAAAAACAATAAAGCTGTATAATGTCACCTGATAATTGGGTATAATATGAAAAAAAACACAACTACTTCGATTTAGTAGGAACAACATATGACGCAATGCTAAACGAATGGAATTTAGTTGTTGTTTATTTAGTTATTGTTATTAGTAGTTGTTGTTATTTGTTTTAGTTGTTGTTGTTTATTTAGTTGTATTTAGTTTCAATAACTTTTCTTTATACTGCAATAAAATCTGGCGAGCAGCTATTTAAACGATCGAACACTTCGTTTGTTTATTTGTGGCTTGAAGTTAGGCTCGCAGAAAATGCCGTTCATGGGTTAAATTTAGTAGGAACAACACAACCTGTGACGTAGGCTATATTATACCCAATTGAGATTTTACATAGAATCTTAGAGTTCGTTTAATAATTGGCCAATCACAAGCACGCACAATTGCAAAAGAGAAAAATAAAGTCGTCACATAAATAATCTTCAACCGGGTAAATTATGAGTTCATTCATCCAGAATCTATCCACATTACGACAGAATCGAATAACGGAAAGAAATAAGGGGGGAAATGCCCTATTGGCACTTCTAATGTGACATAATACTCTTGGCTATATTTCTTTCTACATAATGCGCCAAATTATCATTGAGGAAAGCCATAGGCGAACGTCGGCACAAATTTTGATCAATTGGCGCATCAAGCTAATATGCCGTCGCCAGACGATGAGTCTTCCACTGTATCACTTTAGATGTGCTTATCTAAGCGGTTAATTCTTTTTTTTTCCTTGACTCGTTCCGAAATACTAATATCGGTATCCTTATATGACTCTTGGGATAGAAAAGTGGTTATGGCATAGGGGAGGGGAGTAAGTTAATTTCTGGCTCAAAGGCCCTGTGAGCCGTTCGAACTGTTATAAAAATGAAGATATAACACTCTCTGGCTTATCGGAAGATGAAACACAACGAATAATTCTCAATCTATCTAAGAATGTTTTATTCATTTTTTTTTCATCAGACAGTTAAAAATATTTTTTTAAACTTTTAGTTGATGACTTTTGATGTTAATACAGTTTTTTCAACTAGTAATTCATTTATTAAATTTAATTAATTAAATTTAAATAATTTTAGTTTTATGTTTTTAATTTTAGTTTCATGTTATTAATTTTTTTTAATTATTTAATAAAAAATAACTAAAATAAACTTCTTTTTTGTTAACCTAAGTAGAAATTGACATTACTTTTTATTTTTAATATTACTTGCTTTTTTTTTAATTACAATTACTTTTTAGATGAAAAATAAATGCTTCTTTTAGGAGCTATAGTCTTAACAGGTAATTCAGAAATAAGCGAATTCTATTTTCTGTTGTAACTAAATTTTAAATCTTTTTGTTTTATAAAATAAACAAAAAAAAATTTAAAAATTCAAGAGAAATAAAGTAGACGGGGAAAAGTTTTTTTTTGTTTAGAAAATAAGCATACATATATCATAGAGAAAGGGTAGCTCATTCATAAAAGAAAAAACGCTACCACGTAAATAGAAATAAAAATTTTAAACTATTCTAAACCAAAAAAGGATTTGATTTACGGAATTTACGAGGGTTGGAATTTTAAATGTGACAATTATTTATTTACCACTGATGAGAAAAAGACATATCCTATTAAGTTTCAGTGGTTTTCTTTTTTTTGTTTGTTTGTAAATAACGGAGGGAACTGAACTTTCGTTTTTCACCTTAGAAGATGCCGGAAGTGTTGCTCATTTATTGTTGCAGGTTGGCATCTGTGAATTAAGGTCACGAAGGCGATCAACATTACCCACGCCACATTGCCACANGGCTATTGAGTTGAACATTAGTAGTCGTAAACCCGATAAATTGGGTCAGCTGTGCAACAACAGTTATAATTTTTTTTTTAAATAACAGCAGGAACTGAACTTTCGTTTTTCGCCTTAGAGGATGCCGGAAGTGTTGCTCATTTATTGTTGCAGGTGGGCATCTGTGAATTAAGGTCACGAAGGCGATCAACATTATACCCACGCCACATTGCCACATATGCCCGTCCATAGGCTATGCTACATTCACACATCACACAACACTGGACAACACAGAGAGAAACTGCTGGACTAGCAGAGAAAAGCCAATAGCTGTGGGATTCGAACCAGCAGCTATTGACTTCGCAGTCAGGCACGCTAACCACTCGCCCATCTGGCCTGCTGTTTTTCAATGTGGTCACCATTGTATACAACTCACTGCCATGTAATGTGGAGTAAGTTTTAGAATATCAGGCATTACAAGAAAGTATATCAAGTTGCTGTCTTTATATATTTTTTAAAGATCCTTTTAGTTTAATATAAGTCAGTTTTTGTAACTACAAGAATTACAAATTGTTGTATAACCTTGAGAAAGGTATAATATCTATTTCTATTCCAACGCCGAAACATTTCGAAAAAAAAGACAAATATTTACTTTTGTATCAGCTCACTACGGGATTTAAAAATTTTAAAATAGTAAATTCTATACTCTGTTGCAAAATAAGAAAAAAACATTATCCCCTTAGAGAAAGCCTGTTTGCATCGAAGTGCACGCCAAAAATATGCCAAGCATTCAGCGCGAACAACATCGCCAACTCTTGAAACGACGTTGCACAGCTTTTTTTTTCTTTTGCTGCTTGCTTTCGTAAATCGTGAGAAATTAAAAAAACAAATCTCGTTAAATAATTGATTAACGAGTACGAAGAATTAACAAAAATTACATTTAAAAATCATAATAAATATTTCGTGGACACANAATCCAATCAATAAAAAATGAAAACTGTTGCCAGCGCGAGAAAAGAAATATCATCGGTTTTATTGATACTTACATACATACATACGTACGTATTAGCGCTTTATATAATATAGATTGTTTCTTGCAAACGATTTTTTTTCTTCTACAACGAAACTAAAGTAAAAATTCCTTATCTCGCATTTGATTTGTTAAGGGCATGTCGGCTTAAGACGCGACATTTTTAGTGGTCTAATCGAATCCAATGTTTTGCAAGGTCATATAGTAGTTTCCTTTTCAAGAACGAATGCTCTCCCTATTTATCGAATTACGTCACCAAGTCTAGGATTCCAGTAAAACTGCGGAACGATAACCTTTTTATTGATAATTCTAAGATATGTATTGTAAAATATAACACGAATTAAATTTCTGTCTGACGTGTTTAACTTTTAAAAGCTTTTATATTGTTTTGAAAGCATATTTGCATAATTTGATAACGAAATAAAAAGGAACTGTCGCGGATGATTACTTAAATTCTGTACCGCAAT